AGACAGACAGACAGACAGACAGACAGACAGACAGACAGACAGACAGACAGACAGATGGAGAGATCGTCACCTGCATCTGTACGTCTGTGTATTATTCTACTGCTCATGCAACAGTCATAATGATACTCTCAACAGGAGCCAACGTGTAAGTGGATCCATGACAGAAATCTGAACTTTGACGCTCTTCAAAGGAATCGATTCAATATTAGCTGCAATTGCCAAGCAGAGAAGCCAGGTTTTGAGTGGAACTCGAGATTTCACCTTTGTGTTGGTGAGTGTTGTGCAGCAAATAAGATGATTACGTTATTATAGATCTGAACCACATAGTAAAAACCTTTAGCTCTGTGAAACCTGAATGGAATCGCACAATGAAATCCGTGGATGAAATTCGTGGATGAAATGATGATGATGAAGATGATGATGATGGTGATGATAATGGTGATGATGATGATAACAGTCTATAATGAAGCATTTCAGTATATTCCAAATTTCTTTTCACCAATGACCATTTTGTGTGACTGTATTTCTCCTTTTTTTCATTCCTGAAAAACGAGCGTACCGGCCAATGAGTAGGGAGTGGGCCAATTGGTTCAAACGCTAAATGAGCTTAAGACCATATTCTTATTCATACTCTACTGACACTTACATTTGTATACCTTTTACAGAAATAATCAGTGTCCTGTAAAAATAATAATCGTAATCATCATTCCCTTTTGCACTCTGGATCAAGATATAGACCACGAACAAACACGTTCCACATTTCTCTATCCTGGGCTAGCCTCTTGATGTTTTTTCCATGTCTTCCCACTTTTCTGTACATCAATGTCTGTGACTCTTCTCCATGTGTCACGTGGTCTTCCCCTTGATTTTTTACCCTGTGGTTCCAATCCAACACTTTCCATATTATGCAGCTGCCTGATTTCCTAAGAGTATGTCCACTCAACCATCGCCGCCTTCTCTCTACCTGATATCTGTCTGAGCTCTGTCTTGCTTGTTCTCCTCAACACTTCCTCGTTGGTGACCCTGTCTGTCCATCTGATCCTCAGTAACTTCCTTAGACACTTGTTCAAGAAAACCTGGATCCTCTTTGTGCAAGTCTGAGATGCGTTCCATGTCAACTGAAATAATCAATGTCCTGTATAAATAATAGATCGAGATAAATGCGTTCGCATTTATGATATCCGCGTTCATTTTGTTAGAGCAAGCTGACTGTATCTCCCACAATCCATCATCATCATCATCATCATCATCATCATCATCATCATCATCATCATCATCA